TCTTTGGCAAGTAAACACGATAATTTTGTTTATTTACAAACTGCTGGGCAAACAATGTTTTCTCCTCGAAGAAAACCGAATTCGACAGTTTACCACTTTCGACCAAGTGAAGCAACTCTTTAGCTCTTTTGAGTCTATTTTCTTTTTATTGCAGTGTAAGTTCTTGCACTTTTTGAAATTTCAATGGCTTTACCCCGGGCTCATTTTTCAATATTTGCCGAATCGAATATTGCGATATGTTCAGCTCACGAGCCATTTTTCGGCCACTGCGACGCGGATTTCGATCAAGTCGCTTCTTTACTTTTCGAACCATACGTTTGTAAACAATGTAATGAGCTGTCACTGGAATACTGTTAATAGCTGTCGGGCGAGGGGCTTAGAAATGACATGACATCTGAAGTTGGTTGCAGTTTTTTCATCTCACCCTGTACATTAAAGCTATGTCTAAACCTCAACTGATTTCAATATAATTTGACAAATGTATTTTTAGACCAAATTCCGTCATTCATTCCAAATTTCATTGGAATCGGACACACATATCGTGTTTTGTGAATAAAATACACGAAATCGGGAGAAAAAAATGTATGGAAGCTATATCCAAACCTGGACCGATTTCAATATAATCTGGCAAATTTCTTTTTGGACCAAATTCCATCACTCTTTCCAAATCGTGTTTGTAGCGCCTTTAGACTTTTTTATGAGGCTATTTTAAAAATTATGACCAACCACACAGACGAGTTTGTTTACCAAAATTGAACAAAGCGGATGGATCATTTGAGATGCAGTCGTGGTCAATATTCGCATATAATCCTTCAAACAATTCACACAAGATTTCATACATTTTTCTGAATTTCATGTGCTTTTATCTTTGAAAAATTTTCCCATAGCCCTTAAAAAATCACCCTCTATTTATATCTAAAATTTTCCCCATTTCGTCACACTGTGCAGAATTTTTCTCGTTTTGTTTGTTTTATATTTTTTCCTATGAATCATTTAAAAAGTATTATTTAATTATTCATAACAAACGGCCAAAGATGGCTGTGAGTACGTTCCTCCTGCCCTCTCCCCATACCTGTGCTGTGCCATCTTCGTAGACAGTGTCATTATGCTAGTTAAACACTTGGATTCTTATCTATTTTGTCGTCCTCTCAACGTGGCTTGCTTCCACTTTAATTGTTTGTGGCATTGTCTCTCTCTCCCTCTTTTGTTTGTGTACGTAGTATATTCGTATTTGTTTGTAAAATGCACACTCTCGCCTTCGTGTGAAACCCCGAGAGAGATACTCCTCAGACGTGTCGCTGTTGTTTTTGTTGCCAATTGGGTGCAGTGAGGTGAGATTGTACTTGTTTTTATTATTATTGTTGGCATTTTTCAAAAGTAAATAATAAACAAACTTACGTACTCTCATCGTTACTCATACACGCACAGGTTAAACACCAACTACACTTGTTCTGTTGTTTTTGTTGTCATGTGGAAAACTGAGGAGAGTCCAAACGAGAGTAAAAACCCTCGCTTTGTAGCAAAGGTTGAAATAATTTGAATTTTAAAACTGCACTCTGATCTCGGTAGACAATTACCGTAACGTATCTCTCAGCCTCCCCCCCCCCCTACTCCACACTGGAGCTCTTGGCATCCCTGAGATAGTAACGCATTTGAAATTATTGAAGCTTTCCCTACCACCAGATAGCCTCACCCTCCTCACGCTTTACGAGCCGTCTGTAAAACGGCGCAGTCTACTTAAACTTGGTCTATTGTTTGGGTTTTTATCTCTTTGTTTTTTTCCGTTTTGTGGTGTTTCTTTTATTACACATCCGAGTTGAATGGAAATAAAATATACGACCGACAGTATGTGTTCGATTTATGTAATCTGTCATAAGGTTAACCATGGCAGAAAGATAATCACATTGGGCGACAAAATTCAATTATTTTTCGAAAATTGCAGAAAAAACTAAAATATTTTGGAAGTAGGACCAAAAATATAAGGCATTAGTATTAGCATTTCGAAAGTTCATCATAGGAGGTCACAAAAAAAGGCGGAAAGTTGCGTCCAGTTCTACATTTATTTATTTATTTATTTTTTTGAAAATATTCGAGTGTAGTTTTCTTGGAATCCATGCATTTTTGGTATATAGTGTCTTTGTTAATATTATATATGCGAGCTTTATCCAAATCTAAACGGATTACAAAAAAAATTGGCAGATTAGTTTTTGTATTCCGTCACTCAATCCAAGTTTCATTGAAATTGAAGATACAGGGTGAGATGAAAAAACTGCAACCAACTTCAAACTGCTGTCATTTCTAAGCCACTCGTCCGACAGCTATTAAAATTATTCCAGTGACAGCTCATTATATTGTTTACAAGCGTACAAAAGCATTTTGGGGAGAATTTTCCAGAAAAAAAAGTTATTCGTGATGGAATTCAAGTGTGATAGTGTGATTTATATTTGGCTGGAAAACCACAAGTGGCTTTGTGGCTATCGTTAGAGCACTCCAGCATTTAAATGTGAATATGTCTTTTGTGTCTCGTACCATCGCTCGTTACCGTGATACTGGTAGCGTAGCCCGACGTCAAGGGAGTGGACGGAAGAAAACAGCAAAATCAGCAGAAATATTTCGAAATGCAGGAGGCGCCTTGATCGAAACCCTCGTGGCAGTGGCGGAAAAATGGCTCGTGAGCTGAACATATCGCAATATTCCATTCGGCAAATATTGAAAAATGAGATCGGGGTAAAGCCATTGAAATTCCAAAAGTTCAAGAACTTACACCGCAACAAAAAGAAAATAGACTCAGAGACAAAAGAGCTGCCGAATTTGGTTTTCTCCGATGAGAAAACATTCGTTGTCCAGCAGTTTGTAAATAAACAAAATGATCGTGTTTACTTGCCAAAGAGGTCAGCTGAAAATGTGCACCTTCGGTTGGCCACCAGAACTCAAGCGCCAGCCATGGTGATGGTGTGGGCTGCCATAACAGCCGATGGTCACTCCCCACTCGTATTAATCGACTGTGGCATCAGAATAAATATTCTGGAGGGGGTATTAAAGTTTTGGGCACGCAAACATTTGGGCCGCAGACCTTGAACATTCCAACAGGACTAAGCACCATCGCACTCAGCACACGCCATCTAAGAATGGTTACAAAATGAGGTTCGTCGCTTCATTTCCAGGGAACAATGGCCACCAAAATCTGAGGATACCAATCCGTTGGACAATTGTGTCCGAAGTATTTTGGAAAGCATGGTTGGCACTAAAAAATACCAAAGTGTCGATCACCTCAAGCAAGCGCTTCGCCGGGAATTTGAATAGAATCGGATGCTAATTTCGCATTTATAAGCGTTTTGGTCATTCAAATATTTGACCCTTAGTGGAGGAGGTACCAGAAGGAGTGGATCGATATATTCCATCTTCACAACAGATCTTGTTCTTATGGAAATATTTGGATGAGTGAAATTTGAAGAAAATCGGATGGTTATTTTGTAAATTAAAAGAGATATAATTTTTCAAAATTGTGACCATTTGTGGGGGAGATAACAGAAGGAGTGGACCGATATATTTCACCTTCATAGCAGACCTTTTGTTGGTAGAAATATTGGGTTTGAAAATATTCGGATGCGTATTTTGCGTCTTATGAGCTTTATAGTCATTGAAAATTTTGACCCGTCGTGGGGGAGGTACCAGAAGGTGTGGTTTGATATATTTCATCTTCACACCAGATATTTTATTTGTAGAAATATTGGGATGTGTGGAAATTGAATAGAATCGGATGCCTATTTCGTATATTATAAGAGTTATAATTATTCCAAAATTTTGACCCCTTTGTGGGAGAGGTACCAGAAGAAGTGGACCGACATATCCCATCTTCATACCTGATTACGTGGCGATAGAAATATTGGGATGTGTGAAATTTGAAGAGAATTGGATGCTTGTTTCGCGTTTTATAGGAGTTATAATTTTTCAAAATTTAGACTCTTTATTCCATATTCAAATCAGGTCTTGTGTTAGTAGAAATCTAGGGAAGTGTGAATTTGGAGACAATCGGACTCTTACATCACATATTGTAAAATTTAAAAATATTCAAAAGTTTGACCATTTTTGGGGGAGGTACATGATGGAGTGGGTCGATATTATCGGTTTACATCACTTATCCGTAGAATAAAGATTTATGGCTTATTTAGTCGTGCGATAAAACCAGAAGTAAGAAAATGGTCATTTGGTCTCCTGTTCGGAATTTCAATGAAAAGTGGTGAAGATTTCCCCTAAAAACTTCCTGCAATACAAAATTCCAATTGTTACAATTTCTGTTGAACTTATCAAGCCCTCACTGTGGCCAAGTAAAAACCCCGCTTTTCCAAAAACAAGATGTAGCAACAACATTTAAATTCGCATCATGGCAGTAGTGACGATGATGATAATAGGGTGTTTTAAAATTACTGGCGTTGCGGCGCATCTGACTGACACGCACACACACACACATACACACACTTTATGTCAAGTGTTGATTTAATGGTATGCGTGTGTAGCTATAGCTACTGATTACATGATGCCAGAGTGTGATTACTCTAATGGCAGGGGGAATTACTTGAAGAGATTCACTGAGCATAACCAAGCCGTATATCTGAAGTAAGTATGAGACGCATGATGCCACCGCAGCACTCAACGCGTTGCGTAGGTGTACATTTGTACATGGCAGCTTTTGATGATCATGGCGATGCGATGCGGCTGATGAGGAAGTTAATCACATGGAAGGTGAGTGGGGACGGATTGGCATAGCATAATTTGAAGAGGTCATGCATCCGTGATTGGCCTGATGTACACACATTAGATTTTGTAAATAAATAACAATTTTTCCTTTTGTTTCTTTCATTTCGTTTTGAACTACAAAACTTACTGACATATAAAAATATTATATAAATAAATAAAAATACGCAAATAAATCCGTCACTACATATGTATGTAGATAATATTTGTAGATAGTAAGCCAAAACAAGATTAGAAATACTTACGCTGACATAATTCGCATTAATGTATTCCGTTTTCTCATCATCGTTCAGACGCTGTAGGATGACACGAGTTTCAGGAAGCGGTAGGACATTGGCATATCTGGAAGGGAATTAAAAAAAAAAAAAAAAAACAAAAACAAATTAATACAAAACAAGTAAAAAAGCTGTAAGTTCGGCCGGGCCGAACTTGGAATACCCTCAACCATTTGAAAAGATTTTGGCAATTTTCAAAAAAAAAAATAGGTTAAAAATTCTGTTAAAATTTTAAAAATACCGAACGTATAAGGGTTTATATGACGACGTGGACCTACATAGGCAATTTTTGTTATAAGCCATTACAATATTCAAATGCGAAACTTGAAAAAAAAAAAAACATTCGGTGAATAATGTAGCTAAAATCATCAAAATACCGAATATAGGGAGGTACCTTTATATGGGGGCTATACGAAGGCGTGGATCTGCACAGACAATTTTCCGTCATAGGCTGTAGTATCCATTACGAACGTCAAATACTAAATTTGAAACAATTCCGGTGAATATTGCCACAAAAATCATCAAATACCGAATATTGAGAGGTACCGTTATATGGAGGCTATACGAAGACGTGGACCTACAAAGACAACTTTCTGTCATAGGCTGAAGTATCCATTATGAACTCCAAATAATAAATTTGAAACGATTTCGGTGAATAAATTCGGCAAAATGGTCCGATCTCTACCATTTTTATAAGGGATCTTGTGTTGATAGAAATATTGAGATGCACCAAATGTGAATAGAATCGGATGTTAATTTCGCATTTTATGAGCTTCATGAATATTCAAAGTTTTGAACCTTTGTGGGGAGGTAGCAGAAGGAGTAGACCAATCTATCCCTCTTCACAATAGATCTTGACTTAGTAGAAATAAGGGGATTTGTGAAATATCAAGAGAACCGGAGGATTATTTCTGATTTTATGATCCATTTGGTTATTCAAAACGTTGACCCTTGAGAGAGGTACCACAAAGAATGGTCCCAGCTCTACCACTTTTATAAGAGATCTTGTGTTGATAAAAATATTGAGATGTACCAATTCTGAATAGGGTCGGATGTTATTTTCGCGTTTTATGAACTTCAAGGATATTCAAAATACTGACCCTTTGTGTGGGAGGTACCAGAAGGAGTGGACGGATATATTCCATCTTCACACCAGATCCTGGGCTAATAAAAATATTGTGACGTGTGTATTTTGAAGAAAATCGGACTCTTACATCACCTTTAATAAGAGTTATAATTATTCCAACTTTTAACCCTATGTGGGGGAGGTACTTGATGGAGTGTACCGATATTGTCCATTTTCGCACCTATCGTAGCACTGATGGAAATATTGGGATTTGCGAAGATGAAGCAAACATGGATTATTCTTTCTCGTTCTTTAAGTAAAACATTTTTTGAAAATGTTGACTTTTTTGGTGGGGGAGGTACCAGAAGGAGTGGACAATAATAATATTACGATGTACCTAGTTTGGATCAAATCGAATACTCCCTTCAATATCGAGCGCACCAGTCAGACAGACGGTTGGGCATCGCTAGATCGACTCCAAATGTCCTGAAACGGATTTGGTCCAAAGAGACCTAGGGTCTTAAACCGTTATTTCAATGAGGCACGTTTTGGCCGTATCAAATGATATAGAACCTCTCTAGCCATATGGCTGAGGGTATAACAAGTAAAAAGGGCTTCCAAATCGGGAGGTACCGTTACATAGGGGCTATACCAGTTAGAGAATTTGAATCGGACAATTTTGGCAGGGAGAGAACAGATCTAGCGAGAACCTTAAAATTGTTAAGTAACAGCTTATTTGGTTGGAAATTGTGGCAGAAACCTTCAAAATACCGAAAATCAGAAGGTACTGACATATGGGAGCTATAGCAATTAGTGGATCTGAATCGCAAATTTTCTTAAAGGGAGACAGACCTGCCAAAAATACCAGTTGGTGAGATTAATTAAATTTAGTTAGAAACTGTGGAAGAAACCCTTAAAACCCCGAAAATCTGGTGGAACCGCTATATAGGGGCTACGCCAATTAGTGCACCTGTAGCGAATATTTTTGGCAAGGAGAATTGACCTACCGAGAACCTTAATTGTCAAATTTCTTGTAATTTGATTGAAAATTGTGGCAGAAAACTTAAAAATTCCGAAAATGTGGACTATATCCAAGCGTGGACCCATATAGCACATTTATTCGGACTACAGACAACATTTTTGAGGTTTTCGGTCCACAGAAGGAATTTTAAAGGCCTTAGGTCTAAAGGAAATCTCTTTAAAACACCTCAATTGAATACCAATTAGTTGTTAAGTTTCAGCTAATTTGATTGGAAATTGTGACAGAAACGTTCAAAATACCGAAAATTTGGAGGTACCGCTATATGGGGCGCTATACCAATTAGTGAACCTGTACCGTAAATTTTTTTCAAGAAGAGGACAGACCTACCGAGATCCTCAAATGCAAAGTTTCATCGAATTTGGTTGGAAATTATGGCGGAAACTTTCAAAATACCGACAATCGAGAGGTATTTTTAAATGGGGCAATACTAGTTGGTGGTCCTGTACCGAATATGTTTTGCAGGGAGGGAATATATCTACCGAGAACTCTAATTGCCAAGTTTCAGCTAATTTGGTTGAAAATTGTGGCAGAAATTATCAAAATACCGAAAATCTGGGCTATACTCTTTCAGAGATCTCTCTCTTGAGAAGACCTTTAGAAAGACTTTTGTCTAAAGAGGACCTGCCAGAGGTGTTTTTCCAAACGTAAGCCCCGAAAAAATCTTCTAAAAGGTGTTCTATCTAACGTAAGCCCCGAAGAAATCTTCTTGGTACGTCATTGGTCACGGGTCTTTAGAAGACCCTAAGGTCGAGGATCTTTCATAATTCTTTGATGTATAGAAGTGTTTTCATAGAGGTTTCTTTCTACAGAAGACCTCTTCTCTGTTTAGATTTCAGAAGACCTCTTCTCCGTCCTTAAAGAGTTTTCAAAGCTTATCGGTCTTCAGAAGACCTTTTAAAGGCCAAGTACTTTTCATAGGTCTGTGACCCATAGAAATTCTTTTTAAATGGGGTTCATTCTTTCAGAGGTCTACTCTATCTCTTGAGAAGACTTTTCGAAGGGATTTTGTCTAAAGAGGACCTCTCAGAGGTGTCTAACGTTAGCCCTCCAAGAAATCTTATTGGTACATCATTGATCACCGATCTTCAGAAGACCCTATATATATAAATTCTTTTTAAAAGGGTTTTGTTTTTTTCAGAGACCTTCTCTATCTTGAGAAGTCTTTTTAGATGACCTCCCATAGGTCTTCTTTCTAAAGAAAAGCCACTAAGACCCCTATACGGTCTTCAAAAGAAATTTTAGAGGTCTTTGGTCTAAAGGAAATATTTTTAAAAGACTTCATTTGAAGAGAGGCGGGAGTAGTCCGTCTATTGAAGATTTTTCAAAGGTCATCGGTCTTTAGAAGGCCTTTCCAAGACCAAGAACTTGTCATTGGTCTATATTAATTCTTTTTAAAGCGGTTTCGTATCTTTCAGATGCCTTCTATATCTTGAGAAGTCTTTTTAGAGGACCTCCCAGATGTCTTCTTTCTAAAGAAGAGCCCCTAAGAAATCCTCTAAATAAGGAAAATCTCAAAATACTGGAAGATACTGGTTTTTTCTTCATAGATCGTCTCTCAGACAAATTCTGTCTCAGGGAAGACCTTTCTGAGGAAGAAAAATGTTCAGAGGTCAGCTATCTATAGAAGGCCTCTCAAAGACCTTCTGTCTCAGGAAAAACCTCTCAGATATCATATTTTCCGTAGAAAATCTCCCTGAAGTCTTCTTTAGAAGACCTTTCAAAGGCATAGTGCAATAGCCCTCTTTCTATAGAAGATCTCTCAGGAATCTATTTCCAAGGAAGGTAGTTGGAAGGCTTCTTTATGTAGAAGACCTCACAGGGTTTTCTGTTTATAGAAGGTCTCTCAGACGTCTTTCGTCTATAAAAGACTTCTAAGAGGTCAAAGAAATCTCAGAAGTCTATAGAACAGGGTGACCCTCGTCTGAGGAAGACGTCAAAGTTTTCTTCCATAGAAAACTACGGTGAGATCAATCTGTCTTTGGAAGACCTCCCACAGGTCTTATGTATAGAATACCCATATAGCCCATTTTAAATACCAATCAGCCTGCATGTAAGAGCTCTACATTAAATCGTGATTTCCACAGACAGGCAGTCGGACATCGCTAAATCTCCTTCTAATTTTATTCGGATCAGGAATATATATATACTTTTTGGGTTCTCTGACGATTTTTTTGAGTTTTGGCAAACGGAATAATAAATTTAATATAATTCCCCCCAATGGTATGGTGGAGGATATAAAAAAATCTAAAATTCTTTTCACTCACCTATTCTTATCTTCCACCCCGGGTGGCACCTCATCATCTCTCGCCGTGATTTGTGGCACATCACGAAATTCCTCAAAAATCCTCAACTTCTCTGTGGCAAATTTCGCCAAATCATGGACGCCCAAAGCATTGTGACGTATCGAAGGGTCATCAAAGGCCAAATTGCCATATGTCCTTTTCGAGGACCTGAATGCACTGCCCTTGCGTATGCTACCACCCCCGATGGAACCATTTTCGATGGCATACTCATCGAGGCTGACGGGACGGCAACGTTGACTGTATGACGTTTGTTTTTGACGTTTACGCATCAGGTAGAGGAAGGCTACCAGTAGGATTAGGGCAACAACACCAATTACCGAAACCGTGATGGCAATAATGACATTGACATCCATCTCACCGTTGTCATTGGAGTTTTTGGTAAACATGTTGTTGTCACCTCCGTTGGGTATCATAATGGTGTCCAGGGGTGGTAAGGAGTTGCCACCAGTTCCTCCAATGTTGGCGGTTTGTATGACCATTGTGGTGGTAGTACTGTTGGAAGTTGTTGTGGGTATCATGGCTGTTGTTGTTGTGGTTTCTAAATAATCTATTAAAGTTGTGTGAGGAATTTCACTTGTTGTTGTTGTTGTCGGACTGCCTGCTGTTGCGGAACTGTTGCTAATAATTTTATAGACCTCTTCTTCTAAGCCCTTCAAAGTTGTTGTTGTCGTCGTTGAAGAGCTTGCCTCTGTTGTTGTCTCTGCTGCTGTTGTTGTTGTTGTTTTTATTATTATGGGGGGTATACTCGTTGTTGTTGTGGTGGTGCTGGTGGTAGTTGTTGTTGAATCATCTAGTAGACTTATAAAGGTCTCCTCTGTCACTGCCGTCGTTGAGGTCGAGGTTGATGTTGTTGTCGTGCTCTCCGGTAAACTCATGGTTGTAAGTTCCACACCTTCCGCATACTCTCCCCCACCGGAACCCTCCACTTCTGCTTCCTCTTCCCGTTTGATAGCTGTGGTGGTGGTTGTGATTATTTCTGGTAGTGGCGTTGTTGTTGTTGTTGCAGGTTTTTGATTACCCCCTCTGAGAGGAAATTTGAAATAGGTTTCTACCCCTTTTTCTGTGGTGACCCCTTCTTCCCCTCCCGGGGTTGTATTGAGTTCAGGTGTAGAGGACGTTGTGTGTGTCTCGTTTGAGTGGCCAACAACAGGTGTTTCTGTGGCAAGGATGGGTACAACTGTTGTTGTTTCAATTTCCTTCTTCGTATCCTCCTCCTTCTCTTTCTCCCCCGTGGTCTCCTCCTTTGTGGCTTCTTCTTCCCTTGTGGCCTTCTCCTCCTCCTTTGTTGCTGAGACCTCCGTCGTCGTCGTGTAAGGTAACCCAATTATTATGTTTTGTTCTGTGGATGTTGTTGTTGTTTTTATTTGCTCTTGGCTATTGTTTTTCGTCTGCCCTTCCTGTCCCGCTTCCCCTGGCTGTGTTGCTTCTTTGGCTTCTTGTTGAGGGCTAGGGGTTGTTGTCGCTTCCTCCAATGGTTTTTTGATTATCTCTTCTGTGGAGGATGACGTAGTATTTTCTTTAGCCTCAGTTATTGTCGTCGTCGAACTCGCCGTCGTCGTCGCCTCAAATGGAATATCTGTGGTGTTTGTTGTTGTTGTTGTTGTTGTAGCCTGAGTTGTTGTTGTTGTAGTATTTGCTAGCTGCTCATTCAAATGCGTTTTATTTGTACTTGAAAATTGCCCCTCGAATGACGACGCCAACACCGCCGCCCCTGTTACCTCTGCACTTGGCTCTTGAGACGCTAACGTAGTTGTGTCTAAACTTGTTGTTGTAGTTTCAATATTTATCGATTGCTGCTGCTGTTGCTTTTGTTGTAATTCATTATCATGACTATTACTGTCGATGCCATTTTGGTCAATAACTTCCGCTAGAGGAATAGTTTTCGTGGTGGCAGATTCGGCCTCATTTGCTGGAGAAGTTGTGGCCGTCTCCGTTAAAGTTGTTTTTGTTGTTATTACAAATTTCGGCTTATATGTTGTAACCTCTGGGAACCTGGAATTATTTTCCTCTCCACTACTCTCCGTATTCGAATTTTCCGTAATATTCGCTTTTAAACCAAAATCATCCGAAACCGAATTCCGCGTCGTTGTCGGTACCGTTATCGTTGTACTCTCCGCGAATGGTTCAACAAAACTGTTAACATTTGACTCTACAGTTGTTTTTTGCACTTCAGGCTGGCTATGGCTGCTCTCCGTTATAACAGCTGTTGCCTTAGTTACTGGCTCTCTCTCTGAGTATGTTAGGTTGTTATGATTGATAAAGCTCTGCTCTCTGGGGTTGTTCTCAAATGTAATGACGGCACCTGGCTCGTCACTGGCAACAGCTGTTGTATTTGCGGGTTGTTGTTGGGTTAAAGTCAAGTTTGTGTCAGGTTGTTGTTGTTGTTGCTGTTCATGTGTGCCAACACTTTTGGGACTTGCTACAAACTCAACAAATGATTCCGTGGTGGCAGATTCCTCTCCCCCAGCAACCTGGGTTGGCAAGTTATCTTTTGTTTCTCCCATTTTTACGGCCTTATCATCTTCGCCCGCCATAGATAAGATTTCTGAATTGGCACTGATTTTATTTGTCGAGGAATTACCCAGAAGCTCCATGCCCTCATATTGTTCCGTGGTGGCCTGCAACAGATCTTTGTCGGTAATAATGTGCGACCAATCCAGCAGAGATTTTTCATTGAGACCCTGCTGGGATTTTTCACTCTCAAATGGTTCCCTCATCTCCTGGCTTTTCTCTGCCATGGCAAGGCCCTTTTCAGTTGTGGTTATCTTTGGCAGCTCCAAATTGAAGTTGGAGTTCGAGTTGGGATTCTTCATGCCAGCCAGGGACCAAACCTCGGGATTATTGGGTAAATTCATTTGCTGGGCATTGGAGGAGTTTTCATTGATAAACTTGGGCTGTTTGGGGCGTTGAGAAGAGGAGTTTTTCTGTAGCTCTTCAAAATCCAAATTATTGGCAATGTGGGCCGGTAAAGTGGTGGATTCTTCCTCCGCCTCCTCCTTGCCAAACATGGAACGCCCATATTCCACTTTATCCATTGGCCTTGGACTCGGATTGGCTTCCGGCACTTTTTCCGTGGTTCGATCGGGTAAATCATTGGTAACCTCTTTCCAGGAATCTGAATCCATGGCATCCTGAATATGCCCCGAGGTATTCAAGAATTTATTTCCCGATTCCCCCGCAAGAACCTTGGAGGAAAACACCGATTCATCTCCCTTGGTAATGGCTGCTGGATCCGCGTTAATGTGATTGCTTTCTAGGCTATTGTCACGAAGGGTTGTGGTCTTGGCTAAATCAGCTGTTTGATTCGAGCGATCAGCTGTTACGGCTTCCAGATCGGATGTCTTACTTTGGAGATTATTTTCTATGGCAGAAGTATGGGGAGATTTTGTAGTGGTTTCCTCAGTTTTCAACTCTTGATTTCCTAGGTCATTTTGGCCCAACTTTTCATCAGGGTTGCCATCTTTTTCAGCCAAATTATGCGATTCTTCCTTCCCTGATTTCCCTGATGGTAACAGACTTTCCTTGGAGGAAATCTCATTTAGGTTATGATTACCAGGATTTTGTATATCCTCCAGTACTTTAAACGACTTTGTCTCCTCTTCCGGCTTAGTTGAGGTTAGAAAATCCCCTGAGTTGCCATTATTTTTGGCATTTTCATCAATTTCTTTTACAGAGTTTTCCGGGGAAGATTTCCCTTCCGAATTCTTCAAATTCCCCTCATTTTCCTGGGATGCCAGCTCATTCACGGTATTTCCTTCAGCATTGGATGAGATTTTTAAAGTAATGTGGGATTCTGGCTCATTGGGGGAATTTTCATTGTTGCCGGAATTCTGGGCTGCGTGGAGATTTTCATTGGCATTTTGAGAATCCGAAACATTTTGGGATTCTTGAGGATTTTCACTGGCATTTGGGGATTTTGGGGAATTTCCAAGACCATTTTCCTCTCTTTGCGGGGATGTTTGGGGATTTTCATTGGCATTTTGGGAATTCTTTGCCATAGAGTCATTATTTTCTGAAGTATTCTGGGATTCTTGGGAATGTCCAAGGGTGGTGGTGGCCAGTGATTTTTGAGATTCTTGAATATTTTCAGCTTTCGGGGATTCTTGGGAATTTCCCCCCATAATCGGGGATGTTTGGAGATTTTCCTTGGAATTTTGGGATTCTTGGGGATTTTTATGAATATTTTCGGAATTTTGTGGATTTGTATTGGCATTTTGGAATGTACTTCCTTTTTGAGAAAGTTGATCACTTCCATACTCGCTGGCAGAAGCATTTGAACTTTCCCCAACATTCTGGGATTTTTCCTCGGCGTTTTGGGAATTTTGGGGATTTTCTTTAATGCCGGCAATCTGAGACACTGGGGAATTTTCATTATTTATATTTGAGGCCGTCGTTGTGTAGTGGAGATTTTCCGGACTATTTTGGGGTTCTTTCGAATTTTCCTGCGAATTTTTGGGGATTTCTTGGATTTTTGTGGGATTTTCTCGGACAATTTTAGAGATTTCTTGGATTTTTATGGGATTTTCCTGGGCATTTCCCTTCAAAATATTCTGGGATTCTTGAGAGTTTTTGTTGTGCGCACCCTGAGATTCTTGGGAATGTAGGGAATTTCCTCTGTCACCATTTTGAGATTCCTGGGGAATTTTATTCGGAGATCCAGCTGGATTTCCATTATCCTTCGAGGGAATTTCATTGTCAGCTTTCAAAATCTGGGATTCAAGGGGATTTTCATTATTTTTCCCGGAATTGGTTTCAGGATTTTTAGTTCTCAGAGATTCCTGGGAATTTAAATCATTTGTTGCTCCAACGTTTTGAGATTCTTGGGAATTTCCATCACCTTTCAAAGGAAACTCCTGGATATCCTTTCCAATTTCAGTTGCAAAGGCCTTCTGTGATGTATCCCCAGAATTTCCCATTTCTTCCTTGTGAGATTCTTGAGTATCAGCCAAATTGGCAAAATTCTCATGGGTAGAAGAAACACTGAAAACTGGACGATTATCTGGTCCAAGGGTCATAACCTCCACATCCTTGGAGAGATTAGCCTGGGTAGCCAAATCCATATCCTTTCCTTCAATTTTCGTCTGGACATCATCACTCTTCTCCTTGGATTGGGGCGTTAGAACCATAATATTCTCAGAGTTGGTATTTTCCGCCAGACTGGGGTTGAAACTGGCAATTTTGGTTCCGGAATCGGTTTCTTTGGCGTTCTCTTGGGTCGTTTCCCTGGAACCAATGTCATTGAGGGAATGTAAAACCTGGCCACTTAGCCCCTCGATTTTTTCTTGGAAATTCTGCCCCAAATTGCTGGCTAACTTGAGTATGGGATTTTCTGTTGCCACTGGCGCCCGATGTGGGGCTTCATTGGAATTTTCTTCATTTAAACTTTGCTGGGCAGGGGATTTAATATTGGATTCAGGCATAACCTCCTGCAATTTCTTTTCAAATTCCGGCGAGGAATCAATGCTGGAAGGATTCTTAATCAGGGCTATTTCATTGGCCATTGCTTGCTCTTGAGAAGACGTTCCAAAACCCCTTCCCATTGGCTGCAACTTTGTTGGCATTCCACTATCATGGGAGTCCAGGGGAGTTAACTTGGTCGGCAGCGCTTGTGTTCGGTTCAATTCCCCCACTTCAATGTCAGGGTCAGCTGCGGCAGCCCTTATCGACGACACCAAAACATTTGCCGGCGTCACCGCTGTTGTTTCGCCCATATCCATACCTGTGGCTGAGGGAATTTCTCTTTTTTTGATAACACCCGCTTGGGCGTTCCGCACCAACATAACGGCTATTAATAGGTAACATGTTAAAGCTATTTTACAGCGACCACGTTTACGCTGCCACCTAAAGCTAGCTGGAGGAGGCAATGACATATTACAAAAAATTCTCTCTTCTTTTTTGTTGTTGTTGCTGTTGCGTTTAAAGCAAATCGCACGGAACGTGCCTAAAATTACAGTTTACAAATATTTTTCTAATTGGAATTATTTTGTTTTGTTTTTTTTTTTCGCTATCGCTAGAGGAGGCGAGGCAGTTACATTTGGAAAGATTCTTGGGAAATTCGTAATTTTCTCTTTACGAGAAAATTTCCATGGAAAATTCTGTGGAAGAATTCAATGTCAAGTCTCCCTTTCGTTTATCTTGAGGGTGGTGCGGCATTTCCTACCACCTTACTGCGGGTATTTTTCTTAATTTAGTTATTGGATTACGTTGGCATAGTTTCGCGCTCTTCAGTTCATGGCCGGCAAATGGCCACCCTGTGTTGTGGTTGTTGTAAATGGAATGTTATGGTAGTTTTGTTGTACGTTGTTGTTTGTTTTAGGAAATCTGTAAAGAAAGAGGGAGACAGAGAGAAAAGAAAAAAATGAAAGTGTTGCTCTTATCAGGTTAAGAAGTTTATGGTCGCTCGATCATGAGAGCGAACGTTTTGCAAGATTAATTTTTATCTCCCCGAAATTATTCCCAGCTATCTAATCAAAAATTTTGACATTGTAACACACGCACCAGCAACCTTCATAGGTAAATGAATTACCTTCACATGATTTTTTTTTTTTTTTTTTTGGGAGGCGAACAAAATTTTTATCAGCTGGGAACTTTTCCAGGTTGGAAAATTTTCACTCGTATGGTTCTAAGAGTGCCTTGGAATTCCAGGTGATTGTTATTTTATTTCGAGAGATTTTTTTTCATATTTTCCCTTTGAACTTAAAACTCAAATACCTTAGACCCGAAGTGCTGGCTCGAAATCGAGTAATGAATGAAACTCATTTGAATTCGAGCGGGAATACTCCCCCGAGTAGAAAAAAAATTGGTATACTCTATGCAACTCATATAAGATAGAGAGAGAGACTAGACTTTGCACGTTTCGAATGAGAGTAAAATCTGTTCCAGGAAATCGAGCCAATTCTACTCTCGCCGAGTAGGAACTCCATAAGCTTTTATCATACCGGCTATTAAAACTAAACCAATTTATTTTTGGTTCTTACCCAATCGAAATCCTAACTTCTTCAGAGTGTTACAGAAGCAGCATAGAGCGTTTTATGATTGGGGGCCGTTTGGAAAAAAATAAATCAATTTATTTTTGCTTCTCGACTTTACTCTCATGTAAACTCCTACTCCTTTTCGAGCAGCTCGTACTGAGCGAGTACTCTCACATTAATCAAAAGAGCGAGAGAGAGAGAGAGAGAGAGAGAGGGAGAGTGGTAAGAAACTCGTACTCACGAGTAAATACGACAAATGCGGGTTCTCATAAATACTATCTTCTGCACAGACCCCCTGAGAGACTCACTGGCCAACCAGCTCGTCTATAGAGACTCACTGGCCAACCAGCTCGTCTATAGAGACTCACTGGCCAACCAGCTCGTCTATAGAGACTCACTGGCCAACCAGCTCGTCTATAGAGACTCACTGGCCAACCAGCTCGTCTATAGATACTCACTGGCCAACAAGCTCGTCTATAGAGAGAGACTCACTGAGCCGCTTCAGCTCGTCTATAGAGAGAGAGACTCACTGAGCCCCTTCAGCTCGTCTATAGACGAGAGAGACTCACTGAGCCCCTTCAGCTCGTCTATAGACGAGGGAGACTCACTGAGCCCCTTCAGCTCGTCTATAGACGAGAGAGACTCACTGAGCCCCTTCAGCTCGTCTATAGACGAGAGAGACCCACTGAGCCCCTTCAGCTCGTCTATAGATGAGAGAGACTCACTGAGCCCCTTCAGCTCGTCTATTGACGAGAGAGACTCACTGAGCCCCTTCAGCTCGTCTATAGACGAGAGAGACTCACTGAGCCCCTTCAGCTAGTCTACAGACGAGAGAGACTCACTGAGCCCCTTCAGCTCGTCTATAGACGAGAGAGACTCACTGAGCCCCTTCAGCTCGTCTATAGACGAGAGAGACTCACTGAGCCCCTTCAGCTCGTCTATAGACGAGAGAGACTCACTGAGCCCCTTCAGCTCGTCTATAGACGAGAGAGACTCACTGAGCCCCTTCAGCTCGTCTATAGACGAGAGAGACTCACTGAGCCCCTTCAGCTCGTCTATAGACGAGAGAGACTCACTGAGCCCCTTCAGCTCGTCTATAGACGAGAGAGACTCACTGAGCCCCTTCAGATAGTCTACAGACGAGAGAGGCTCACTGAGCCCCTTCAGCTCGTCTATAGACGAGAGAGACTCACTGAGCCCCTTTAGCTCGTCTATAGACGAGAGAGACTCACTGAGCCCCTTTAACTCTTCTATAGACGAGAGAGACTCACTGAGCCCCTTTAGCTCGTCTATAGAGAGAGACTCACTGAGCCCCTTCAGCTAGTCTATGGAGAGAGAGACTCACTGAGCCCCTTCAGCTAGTCTATGGAGAGAGAGACTCACTGAGCCCCTTCAGCTCGTCTATAGAGAGAGACTTACTGAGCCCCTTCAGCTCGTCTATAGAGAGAGACTCACTGAGCCCCTTCAGCTCGTCTATAGACAAGAGAGACTCACTGAGCCCCTTCAGCTCGTCTATAGACGAGAGAGACTCACTGAGCCCCTTCAGCTCGTCTATAGACGAGAGAGACTCACTGAGCCCCTTCAGCTCGTCTATAGACGAGAGAGACTCACTGAGCCCCTTCAGCTCGTCTATAGACGAGAGAGACTCACTGAGCCCCTTCAGCTCGTCTATAGACGAGAGAGACTCACTGAGCCCCTTCAGCTCGTCTATAGACGAGAGAGACTCACTGAGCCCCTTCAGCTCGTCTATAGACGAGAGAGACTCACTGAGCCCCTTCAGCTCGTCTATAGACGAGAGAGACTCACTGAGCCCCTTCAGCTCGTCTATAGACGAGAGAGACTCACTGAGCCCCTTCAGCTCGTCTATAGACGAGAGAGACTCACTGAGCCCCTTCAGCTCGTCTATAGACGAGAGAGACTCACTGAGCCCCTTCAGCTCGTCTATAGACGAGAGAGACTCACTGAGCCCCTTCAGCTCGTCTATAGAGGAGACTCCCTGAGCCCCTTCAGCTCGTCTATAGAGGAGACTCCCTGAGCCCCTTCAGCTCGTCTATAGAGGAGACTCACTGAGCCCCTTCAGCTCGTCTATAGAGGAGACTCACTGAGCCCCTTCAGCTCGTCTATAGAGGAGACTCACTGAGCCCCTTCAGCTCGTCTATAGAGGAGACTCACTGAGCCCCTTCAGCTCGTCTATAGAGGAGACTCACTGAGCCCCTTCAGCTCGTCTATAGAGGAGACTCCCTGAGCCGGCAACACGTCTTTAGAGGAGACTCCCTGAGCCGTCAGCTCGTCTATAGAGGAGACTCCCTGAGCCGTCAGCTCGTCTATGGAGATACTCACTGGGCCATCAGCTCGTCTATAGAGACGACCTAAGCCCTCAGTCTGTCTATAGACTCCTCAGAGCCCTCAGCTTGTCTATAGAAATGACCTAAGCCTTCAGCTCGTCTATAGAGACTCCCTGGCCCTCAGCTCGTCTATGGAAACGACGTCCTTTTTTTGTAGTCTGTGAAGCGTACCATGAACCTACTTGGATCCAAAACAGCTATTTACATCGTTGGGCGCCAATCCTAATAAAAAATTAAAACTGGGAATTTCCACTGAAAAAATGAAACTAATGATTATTTCAAGGAGTTAATGCTTGGAAGTACACGAAGCATTTCTAATCTAGATTACCTTTCAAAAAAGGCTACGAATTCCGTTGGGCGCCAATTTTTATAAAAAAATGGCTAAATGAACATTAAACGTGAGAATTCTTCAAATAGAACGACTTCTCCAAGGGATATATATGAACGTTCTAATTATGTTAACTTTGGAAAGAGAATTATAAAACACGTTGGGCGCCAATTTTCAGGAAATTACATATTTTCTTGAAAACTTGTTAGCTATCAGCTTATATAACGAGCACACACATGAAATAACATCTTGCCGGAGATTTTTGCTAAGTTTTACTTCGTTTGGAAAAAAATTGGTTAAATTTTGAATCTAATTTTGAGTTTTTACAGTGTTGGCAAAAACCTTTCAAAAATAATTGGGTGCCATTTTTTTTAAATTTGAAAAGTGGGAAAAAGTAGTCCGCCAATGGAAACATTCATTAATTAAGATTTTTCAGATTTTGATTTGCAAAGAAAGCTAATGAAACTGTTGGGCGCCAATTTCCGTCAAACGTCATCAATAATAATCCTGCCTGACACTTTTATAAGATTGGTCGCTGATATAGACACTGGGGCCGTGAAGTTATATCAAAGTCCTAACTTTGATTGTCTTAGGAAAAAAATACTGAACCACGTTGGGCGCCAATTCTTACGAAATAATATATTATTTTATTATTTTGTGGACAACGTTTATCGAAATCTGTCAAAAATAATTTTTAAATTCGAAGATGTGGAAAGAATTCGTCCACCAATGATAACATTTCTTGATTAAGAAATTGATTCGTAAAGAAAGCTTATGAATCCACTGGACGCCAATTTCGCTAAGCTGTATAGACAAAAATCCTGTCTGTTGCTGTTATTAGATTTGCTACTGATATATTTGCCGGTAATATAGACACTTCTCCCGTGAAGTCATATCAAAGTTCTAAATTCGATTGTCTTAGGAAAAAATTACTGAGCCACTTTGGGCGCCAATTTTCATGAAAATCTTCCAAAAAACATTTAAAACTAATTGGGCGCCATTTTTTTAAATGGAAGACGTAGGAAGATGTATTTCACCAATAGAAACATTTGTTGTTTAAGATTTTTCGCCAATGTTGACTTTTTTTGAGAGCTTATGAATCCGTTGGGAGCCAATTTCCGTCAAACTGGAGATATAATAGTTCTGTCTGAGTCTGGTCTGTCTGTCTAAGTCTATTGTGTCTGGAGTATTTTGAAAAGCAAGGTTGGCACTAAGAAATACTAAAGTGTCGATCACCTCAAGCAAGAGCTTCGCCGGGAATGGACCAAAAATACCGCAGAGCAACATTCGGGCAGCGTGTGACGGTTTGAAGGCCATAATTCGTGTCAAAGGTGACCAATTCGAACAAATATAAAATTATTCAAAAATTTGATGCTATTTCCGACAATTTTTGCTCTCATTCAATTAAATTTAAAAGAGTGTAAAAATTATGGCGTTTGTCTTTGTTGCAGTGTTTTTTATCTCACCCTGTATAATTACCTCCATTGAGAAAAAATTACTTTACAAGATGGACGCCCCGTTATTCCCGATTCCTCGGCGATATTTTAAACCATACAGGTATTAAATGCAATTAACGTGTGGATATATTGGTAATGAAAATTTCTCCTCGTTGGGCGCCAGTTTCCATAAATCGGTACAATAAGTATTCAGTTAGGAAAAAATGTAATTAGCTTCCAA